TATATATATATATATATATATATATATATACACATATATATTTTTTTTACAAATTGTGCTGCTTCTCCCCACAGACTGCATAGCCGGCCCAAATTGGTGGCCAACAGCAGGCAGTGGACACCCGGAATGGCAGTGGAAGCCCGGTCTGGGTGCGCAAAGGGGAGCCCAGCATTGCTTTGATTTTGTCAGGACGTCTACTAGTCCACAAGCCGGCTGGACAAGGGAACGAGCCACTGTCGTCGCGAAACCCGCAGACGTGGGGCCACTCCCGCGCGCAGTAGCTTGCGGTGGCCGGCCTCTGAGGCCAGGACTTTCTGCCTCTGGTTTCTAAGCCCAGTCTTCTATTTTTGAGACTAGATCTTTGGGCTTCTTGACCTGGAGCTTCCCAGCTGAGCCCCAGCCCTGAAGACAGCCTCCCCGTGCGCCCTCTGCCACCTTGCAGGGGTTTCTGCCACTCCCCACCCCCAACCCTGGCCTTCCCACGCGCTTGAGGGGAGTTTGCGCCTCGCCTCCACCTCCGCCTCCAAATCCCTATTTAACATGCCACATTGTCCCTAAGAACACAAGAAATTGGGGGGGTAGAGTCCGGAGGCCGCAGCCAGCAATCAGGCAGTCTCTCCCCCTGGCAAGGACACACACGTCGTGAGCCCGGCCTGAAATGTGTTTCATTATCACATAAAAGGCTCCCGTGGCGAGGGAGCCGAGAGGCAGGGCTGGGGGCCGAGTGGGGGACAATGAAGGCTGAAAGCGCTGCCCTAACCTGCTATGTTTCGTATCGCACGCCCATTGTGCGAGGGTCGTTTTAAACTACTTAGCGCGCCCCCCTCCACTGATCCCGGCCGATAAGATATAGTTCTGTCCGAATACATAAAAAGGATGTCGGGGAGAGGCGCTTTCGGAGGCTTTTCTGCGCTTCTTGTGTCTTTCAATCCACCCCCTCCCTTTGAGCCCCCAGCCCCCAGCCCGGGTTCCAAGCTTACCGGCGCACAGATCGCCGTAGCTCGCTTCCCCAACTCTAGGTACTGTGGGGTGCAGCGTCTCTCCCCCCGTCTTTTTCTTCCTTTTCCCTGAGCCTTCCGCGCGCCGGTTTAAGCAACCGTGATCTGTGAATAAACAAAGTCAGTAAACAACCGAAAAAAACATTCTAGATCCGAATTCCAGGAGGGTAAACTTTCCATGCCACGTCACACTTCAGCAAATTTGCACAGATATTACCCCCTCCTTTATTATTCTTTTTTTTTTTTTTTTTTTGCCAGGATCCCATTGTACTTAACTGAATTTTATAACGCTGATCGATATCTTGGTAAAATATTCATTTTTAAACTAGCGGGCAGTGAAATCTTTGCTTTGTGTGCTAAAGTCAACAGTCGCTCGGTTTGAGCTCAAATAAATGCGGGGATGCCTCGGTTCGGAGCAGTCGGCCGCCTCCCTCCGCGCGCTGGACGCTCCACCGCCCGCCCGCCCGCCGGCCACCGCAGGTAGGAAGCGCGCCCACTCGGGGGTCGCGCCCGGGCTCCCCTCGGCGGCGTCTGCCCCCCACTCCTGCCCTCACGCCTCCCATCCTCCAGCTAGTCCTCCTCCCTTCCAGGGGCCGCGACACACTGAACCTGAACTGGGATTGTAGTGAGAAGTTCAGTCGATGAAGACCCAGGGGGTTGGGAAGTGGCTTTTTTTTTTTTTTGCGGGGGACTTCGGAGAATGCACGATGTGGAAGGACGAAGAGTCATGGAGTTACAAACCCAGATTGTCTAGGCTCTGAGCTCAGTTAGAGAGGGGTTTGGTGAGGCCCCGAGGCAACGCAGCTCGGGGACTGGGGATTTGATCTGAGGGCCGCGTGTTTCCCAAGGACAGTGGCGGGGGGCGGGGGGAGACGGGGTGCGTCCTTGGCCTCAGAGTCTAGGGTGGGGGTCAGCAGGGAACGGTGTGTTTGGTACAGGGGAGTCTGGAGAGGTGGAGGCCTGAGCGTGGCGACGCCCTCCTCAAGGCGCGCACGGGTTCGGGTCCAGCCAGTCTCGGCCTTTCCCGGGACGCGGTCTGGCCGAGCGGGCAGCGGGGGTCGGCACCACGCGGGAGCAGGGAAGGGGCAGCGCCTTTCCAAGAAGCCGGCGAACGTTAGCTCTCGCTGCAGGAAGCGGCTGGTGGTCTTTACGTGCAGGCGCGCTCGGCTGCAGGCAGGTGGGGGAACCTCGGGGGTAAAGAGCTGCGTCCGGGAGAAAATGTCAGACCTCGGCCGCAGGACCATCTATCACTCCATTCTCTCTTGCAACCAAGTCGCCTGTTTTCTTCGGGAGCCCCCTTCCGCCGCTGGCCGGGGCAGCAGCACGCGTGGGCATGCTGCACTGGCGCTCTGCGGAGCGGGAGGACGCGAGTCTGAAGGACAGAACTCAACCAACCCCGTCTTTCCGTCGCCTGCGGGGAGGCACCGGCCTCGGGAAATTAGTAGTTCCGC